GCCAATGGCCCAGTGGCCCCCGCCCTAGAACCGCCCCTGTCGTTACCTCAGGACCGGATGAAAGAATTAAACTAATTCAGTTTATACTATTTTCTAAAAATTTAAGCTACATTTCACAAAATTCAACATTTTAACTGTCAACATACTGGATTTAACTTGTTAAAATACTGTCCATATCTAAAGAAAAGCCTTATTGCTCATCTGCAAATCCACAATCAGCTCAGACAAATGTCCAACTTTATATTTTACTCTCAAATCAAAATTGTTAAAAAGCTATTTTTTAGAACAAGTGGTAAATTCAGATTTTTGTATTTTTAAGTATTTACATAGAACTGCAATGATACAGAAAATCCACAATTTGATATTTTTCAGTACAAAAAGTCAAATGTCCGTGCCCTTCTTAACTTGTAATTTATTGAAATGGACTACGGACATTTGTTTAACCTCAAAAGTACAGTTTTTAAATTAAATGTTGCTGAAACAGCAAGTGTCTCGAACCCAAATACAGCTGTGTAATGTCAGTGATAAGTCTTAAGAGAACAACATGACAACATGTGACTCATGTTGTCAGTTGAAGAACGTTCATGGGTTGACTGGGTTATTTTAGTGCTTTAGAATTAGGGGATCTAAATATTTGAGTTAGTGATTTAGGGCTAGTGGAACTAATTTGTAGATTAGTGCTGCCCACTACTGTTCCTAAAGAAACATTGAGCAGATAAACATCGGACCATGTTCACATGAGCTGGAGAAGTTCGACACGAAGTTCACAGAGCTCCAAGAACTTCACTTTTACAACAACGTAACATCAATCTGACACGTTCATTCATGATGGCTTGAAATAGAAACTAACGTGTTGGGGAAAATTTTTTTTTTTTTTAAACAGAAATGATGGTGAATTCAGTTATAACAAAAACATTTTAAGCATCTCAGCTTATATAATTACAATAAAATGATTGCCTTTTGTCAGGACCAGATGCAGACTGTTGATCTTCAGCAGGTTGCTCAGGAAACACAAAGTGTTGAAGCAGCACCGAACCCTGTGAGGTAACAAAGATGGAGGTGTGGACACACAAAAGACAACAAAAAACTGACCAAAGGCAGGTCATCTGGAACACAAAGACCATAAATGAGAAGCCATAAAACGATACCGTTACAGTTCCTGTAGTCTGGAAAAGGACAGTTTGGTGACTTAGTATTTTTTAAATTACATTTAATTTATTTTGTTATACTGTATTATAAAACAGAAACATGTTAATTTTATCTCTTTAAATTTGTAGCGCATAACAAGGTGTTAAATTTTAAACATGACCAGAGCTCATCGTGAAAAGAGATGTCTATGTAGGCTACTCTGTAAAGCAAACAAAAATAAATTCAATTAAATTAACATTTTATTTAAAATAAAAGTGTTAATTTACTCAACTCTGGTTAATAGAGCCAGTTGACACCGCTTAGTTAAGTACATTCAACACGTCAATTCTTAGTATGTGTAAAAGTACTAAGGCACAGTGTGTAGGATTTTGTCAATTCTTTTAGCAGAAATTGAGATAATCACTAATGACAATAATAAAAAACATGTCTAATCACTGCAGACAAAGACCTTGTTTTATTATTTTTACCTTATAAAAAGCTGTTTATATCTCCATGGTCGCGGGT